AGATTGGGTGCCGTGAGAAAGGAGGATCGGATGATAACTCCGCGGCACGGAGAGGGCGAAGCTCTCCCTCTTTCTTGTAGATGCTTGGCGGCGCCGGCGGAATTCGGGAGTGTATTGCCAAGTCAAGACGCCAGCGAGACGTGCAGGGCACACCGCTTGCAGACTCGATACGGCGATAATGAGCAGAATTTCGATGCGTGAAGGATTGAGGGTTGTTAAGCTCGTTGTCAACAAGGTGTACCCTTCATCCCACGCCTCGTCATACCATCGACCTCCCATGCTCGGTTATAGATGAAGAGTACGAGGCATACTCTCACATTATGAAAACGGGAGATCTACGATGCATAGCATGAACCATCATTGTATGGTATCAGAAAAGATGTTAGCGTTTCAATGGAAGAGTCGATGTATGATGATGTTTGTTATGTTTTCTTGTGACCGCAGATAGACACCACTTCAGTAGCGCCAAGGGTCTTCCAAGGAACCCATCATGAAAGGGGACGCAACCTTCTCGAAGATCAAAAAGCTTGCTTCTCAATCGGCCGAAACCCGCGGGCGATGACTACCCATACGTTTCCAAAGTTGCGCGGCAGGCGTGGGATATTGGACGCAGTACGAGCGGAAACTCGGACGGAGGGGGACAGAGGCGCCATCACGGGGTGACGGACTTATGTTTTGAAAAGTCAGAGTCTACAAAGTCTTGAGAGAGAAGCGCCCGTGCGAATTTCTCCCCCGAGACCGAGGGTAGCATTCAGAGAGTAACGGTTCACGACAGCAAATGGGAGTTTCCGAAGAATACTCCGAGTTCGAGTGGACAGGCTACGAGGAGGAGGGGTCATGCTGTGTTTCACAGCGTCGCGGCTAGTAGACTTCCAGCCCCTCTCTTTGATAAAGAATGAGATAATACCGTTTTGGACGGAGGACCTGAATGCAAGAAACGTTTGTGGGAGCGCTTTTCTAATGCGGTGCTCGCGATCGACAGGGCAAGGGGAAGGTCGTTCCATACGGTCCAATATCCCTACAGGGCGATGGCTGTCCTTGCTGGTAGAGTTACGAATGTTTCCCATGACAGACACCTAGCGTTTTGCTGGTCCCTTTTTTGACATGAGGGTGTGATGGAAAGACAGAAATTGAGTAGTCTGAGCGGACTTGCTAGGGAATCCGACCCGAGGTCCCCTACATGAGGTGGCCGAGTCGGAACTCACTCCGGTAAGGGGTCGTCCTTGAGAAGCATAGAGAGAAGAAAGGAGGGGAAAGCGGGAACCGATGATTTACTGCTCGAATCTTATTTTCAGCAAGCGTGTGTATGTGTGTGGTGTTCTTCGAAAGAGTGACGCGCAAACCAAAAGGAAAGAAAAAAAAGTCATCTTAACTTCTGAAAGCCGTTGAGTTTGACATTCCGACTACGTAGCTAAGTTCTCTGCCTTGGCCTCTCGAGAGGGTGTGCTGGACGGAAATTCCACAGCTTGCCGACGGGCGGGCGAGCAGCGTTACTGGGAACGAGGCGACACCGGATTCTTCGGGAGGCAAGCCTTGTTCGCTTTCGGTGTTGGGCTATCGGAAGACTTCTTGTGTGATTGTTTGATTAGAGAGGGTGTTTGACGGGAAATTGTCAAGATCCGCATTTCACACCGGAATGGCGGGAGTTCGGTATGAGACGTGGGCAAGGGGCCGAGATATCTATCCGAGTCGGATGAAGCTTGTTGGGAATGTTTTGCAATTGGAAGAAATGCTGCTTGCTCACCCAGTATTTACTGCGATGTGTTAGTTTTGTTTACCTCCAAACGCCAAAAAGAGAGTTTGGTGGTTCGCCCGGTCCATTGCTTGTTTGATGGTTTCTTGTCAAGGGATCGTGGTCTACCGAAACGATAGCGGACCCGAGAGTCTTCTTCTGCTTTTGGGCTGACTACTAGAACATCGCGGCAGCGGTGGATCGTCGGAGGCCGCGTTTTTTCGGCTGATCTAAAAGCCATGTTATCGGCCTCCGATGAATGTGAGGCCGTTACTTTCGGCTTTGGGCTCAGCTCCATGGAGCGGTCGGTGCCCTGCCGGCGCCGACATGGAGCCGTCTCTTGGACCGCACCGCGAAAGATTTGGACCGCGTTGACGATGTTTGCTGTCTCGCTTTCTTCTCATCTTCTTGCCTCGTTGAGTCTAGTGTTCAGAGGCAGTGCTTGATCTCTCGACATGGCTAGGTCATTGCCCAACCGAGCATCGTCTGAAGAAGCTGCATTGATCGGGCACGTCCCGAGAGCCGAGGCAGTGAAAGGCGATACTCAATGCCGCCATGTACCTAGGGATATCGATATTCGCAAGGTAAACATACATCTAATCAGGTTTGAAATGGACAGAGATATAGTTCTATCCTACGATAAGAACGTGTGGTCAAGACCTCTTCCTGACGCCGAGGAATTGATGTCTCTCGTCTGAAGCAGACTTGGTCGCTGTTTGTCAGCTGCGAAGCAAGCCGACCATCTGCAACAATTTGTTTGAAGATTCGAAGCCATAACCAATTCAGAGCAGCAACACACGATGTACCGAGCCGGGTTGTCAAGAGCCCAGACCTTGCGTTCCCTTGACCCCGAGCATACGTGTCATGCCGGGGCTACCAAACGCCAGTCAAAGGTCCAGAGCCGAGGCTGCGGATCTATACAATTCACCTCATGAAGTATTACCGAAACCTTGTCATCCTGATACCGAAGGCATAAACTGCTCATGCTACGGGTATAAAGGCACTTGGAAACCTGGTTAAGTCGCGGTTTGCCGCACAATGCTTGTAGTAAGGCCATGTAAATGACTCAATGCGGCATGTTCAGCCAGCGCAAAAGAGGCAGTTTATTGCGCGGGACCTCTTTTGCGCGGGAGTCTAAGTGTGAACGCATTGAGAATAGTTGTACGAATTTCAAGGTCTCGCACTTCGCTCTATTGGAGATTCTATCCCAATCTTCAAATTTTGCTATTGTCGGCATTAATCAAAGAGGGGGTGAAGTCATGGAAAAGCCGGCCTGTACTGTCGCATTCAACCTTGGGCCGGTATAGAAGATAGATGAAAAACGCATGGGCTTTTGCATATTGAATTCGCATTCCTTGAGTCTTGATCAGGCATTTGCAAGAAGTGTATTGAAACCCCCGGTCTGGCCCTGTCTCTCGTGGATTGAGAGTAGGGCCGTCAGTCCTGGCCGATCTGGTCATTAAAACTAGGTTTTTCATCAGGTGATAGATTATATGTCAGTTCTAGTTCATCTCTCCTGTGTTCCCTCTAGCTGCCAGCCTATCTTGACGTCTGGCACGCTAACGGTGGGAAGTTTGGAGGGATCAGTGACCTTGAATGGCAACGAGAGAGTGGTACTAAATCGATTCCAAAACCACAGCTCTATGGATTGCATTCGATCTAGTTGAGAAGTGTATCTATCCTACATTATCTACTGTCTTCCTTTGAAGGCATTCCCTGAAAAAAGGTGAAAGGCGTCACCTGAGGACGGGAAGAAACACCTATGCCGGCTCCTTCTCGACTGAAGCTATTGTGATTTCTGCAAATCCTCGAAATTTTACTACAAAACTGCCGCAGCTAGAGATTGAAACTATGAAACGTTGACCTGGTTCTCGTCTTGCTCCAGAGACGTCGTCTTCATTAAAGTCGTTCGTGAGGGAGCATCACGGGAACGTGTGGATACTCCCGGGAGACCCACCCACACACCCCTCAGAGCATGGTGACTAAGCAAGCCATGTCTTTAACATCACAACTGAAAGGCACATTGCCGTATACAGTTGGCCTCCACGATAGGATTCGGACCTTCGCGTTTATGACATTCAGCGCGACTCGAAACCCAGCTGTCTCTGATGATAGTCACAGCAACGGACGACCATTGAATGTCACGGGATTTCTGTATGGGATTATGGATGACATCCTTTGAGAGTAAGGTAAGCTGTGGTACGCTGGACCCCTAAGGGTACGTACCGATTTTACGACCGGACCTCCGTTGGGGGTTGGGGCCCCGCCGTGGCGGCGACGGGCGAGGGGCACCGGTTCCTGGCGCCGCGCGACCGCCCTGACATGGCTTTCGCCCGTAGGGCCGCTAAACGCGACGCTACCGCCGTTTTAGTCGTCGGATCACCATTGAGGGTTCAGTTGGAGCGGGAACTTCGTACGTGCGAGTGCTACGGCAACCAGGGGCGGACGAGCCTTCGGTGCTCCCCTTTCATGACCTAAAGATAGCCAAAGGAGAGTATACCTTACACAACGAACAAGGCTAGAGAGTGAGGAGGATCTGGTGCCATGCTATGCTCATGGTTTCCCACAACACAACCCGCTCTTGTTGAGTCTCCTCCAACACTCCGGGGGTTGACTCCGGGCTTCGAGGAGTTCCGACTTCAGAGTACCGATGAACTGTTATACTGCCAACCAGTGAGGATCTGGAGTAGCAGCCCGCCAAAACCAACAGTGATCCAAGGAAGTTTCACCCACAATATGAGGTCACATTTACTACATTGCAACAGCGAAGTAAACGTAACGTTCTAGCGTTTTGCTACTGCTGCTGGAGCTTTGGCTGAGACTCAGACGTAGACCTAGACTCACATAGGTAGTGGCGTCTGATCTGAAGACGACGGGCTGTTCTCCTTCGCCGCTCTCTCGCGAAAGGAAGAAGCGTCGCCGGGGGCGCGAACGCGTGGACCTCCCCCATCCAGATTATCCTCTAGGTAAGGTAGCCCTCTGGCTTGCACTCCCTCAATGTCCCCGGGCCCCGATCCTAGCTGAACCCACACCCAAATGCAAGGCGTTTCGCTTCCCGGCGGAGGTGCGGCGGGCAACCGGGCGGACATGCGTTCGGTTCTTCGCCTTTAACCACAAAGCGTCAACTGGCGAATACACGCCAACACTGTGTTTTCATTGCTGTATATAACTTCCTCTTCTCAACCGCTCTAGCTATCTTCTTTCTCTCTTATCCTCATCCCATTCTTTCCTTTCCCTTCTCTTCTCCTCGCCATTGAACTTAAACACAATGGCTCCTTCCGCGACTGAGAACATCGCTGCTCAGCAGCCTGTCGAGTACGACGCGGCGCGTCCCTTCGTCGGCAAGGTCGCTCTGATCACCGGCTCCGGCCGCGGTATCGGACGCGGCATTGCCGTCGAGCTCGGCAAGCGCGGCGCAAACGTCGTCGTCAACTACGCCTCCTCTGCCGGCGCCGCCGAGGAGGTCGTCGCCGAGATCCAGAAGCTCGGGTCAAAGGCCATCGCCCTCAAGGCCGACATCAGCAAGCCCGCCCAGGTCGTCGACCTCTTTGACCGCGCCGTCGCCCACTTTGGCCGCATGGACTTTGTCATCTCCAACTCCGGCAAGGAGGTCTGGTGCCCCGAAGAGGAGGTCACCGAGGAGCTCTTCCAGAACATCTTTGACCTCAACACCCGCGGCCAGTTCTTCGTCGCCCAGCAGGGCCTGAAGCACTGCGGACGCGGAGGCCGCATCCTCCTCACTTCCTCTATCGCTGCCCAGATGGGCGGTATCCCCAACCACGCCCTGTACGCCGGCTCCAAGGCCGCCGTCGAGGGCTTCACCCGCGCCTTCGCCGTCGACTGCGGTGCCAAGGGCATCACCGTCAACGCCATCGCCCCCGGCGGTGTCAAGACGGACATGTACGACGAGAACTCGTGGCACTACGTCCCCAACGGTTACAAGGGCATGCCCATCGAGATCATCGACCAGGGCCTTGCCAACATGAACCCTCTTAAGCGCGTCGGTGTCCCTGCCGACGTCGGTAAGGTCGTCGCTTCCCTCTGCCATTCTGACTGCGAGTGGATCAACGGTATGTTTTGAGAATCCATCCTTCACAAGCTGATCATCATAGACATTTTTCTAACGCCTGCCATAGGTCAAGTCATCAAGGTCACCGGTGGCGGCACATAAGTGCACCCCAAATTGAGCCTCACTGGCATCTCTATCCGTGCGGGGCTGCCTCAGTGATATTTTAATGCATTGGATCGATGGGCGAGCCGGACGCCTGCTATCCATGGGTTTGGGACTAGGTCGGTTAATATGGGGGCTAGGAGTAGGGGATTTTACATAGCACCTAGGACAGGCGTACGTAGACATGATAATACAATGCGGAGCTTGACTAGAAAACTTCCTATTGCGTTGAACGTGCATGCTCAATAGCAGAATCCCATTTGACTCGCTTCTCTCGTCAATCGAATACATGAGACTTCAGGTGATTAATCGTGTGATGGCCATTGTGATATCCATGATCTCATGGAATTGAACTTTTGTGTGCTCAGATACCATAACCTAAGAGTGAGATATCTAAAACTCCATCATCAAAGTATCTCTTCCGCTCTGTCCGCCTCAGTGGCCGCTACAAGCCATCTCCGCTCGGGGGAGGGCACTTGACATCTACGGCAGAGACGGCACCCAAGCTTCACGCCGCTATCAGTCGCTGGTTTTCAATACATGCTCAACCTTCTCCCGCAACCATCGGGTTAGACTGTTCGTAAAGATCGGGAAACTTCACACAGAAAGCGGGGAGATTCGCCAGATCCTCAGTGTTCAAGTGTTCTAGACCGGCAAGGTATCGGATACTTGGAGGCCAAAGTACCTCTTGTACACGATGGGAAGGGCCGATTTGGCAAGAGAAAAAGATCAAATCCCTGTTCTGGCGTCAGCATACCAAGGATCAGGTAAGTAGACTCGATTGTGTCTTTCTGAATTTGGCATCACGATGGTCTATGAAGCCCAGGCGGCTGGTTTTACGAGTGAGAGAATTGGGTTTGGGCACGTTCGTCCACTTAGTCACCCCGCTGCCCCCTCCCCTCCCCACCAAAGCTAGATACAACGACACCGTAATCATCTCGAAACAAGGAGGATCACGGACTTTCCCAGTAGGCTTCTCACGTTTATCCAAATACACTTGTACAGGAATCCAATGGTGTAGTCGAGTGGGGGCAAAACAACGTATGCTACTGGAAGCCTTAACGGTCTAAGCCGGACTGCGTGTCAGGAATGGATGAGGCGCAAGCACAGAGGATTGCTTCCGCTGACAGCCCTCTAGTGTGTGTGTGTGTATGCGAATCCGCTGTCAACGCGCTGACGCTGGCACCTGTTAGGGGTCGGGAGTGATAGCTCCCAGCCTCTAAGTAAGCTTCTTATGCGGCATTGCTGGAGTTCTACCAGGAAGCTCTGAGCTGGCTTGACAGTGGTGCGATAACGTCTCGTCAGAGTCGTACCATGCAAAGCTGACGGCGTATTCTTTCAAAGGAAGCAAGAATCTCACCCGCTAATACTCCCGAATCCATCCGGCATTTGCTCTCAAAATGCCGCCCAATGCCATGTGCTCGTCATACTTTGTTGCAGAACACCTCCGTAAGATTTCTGGAACGTCAGCCACTTCCATTGTGCTACGTCAACAGGCTGCCAAACGCTGATAATAGAAGCCGGTTCAAGCCCCGGATCTCGGCAAATGGGAAGTGCGCCGTCTTGAGGCCTGATATAGCCCCACTGTTTCCCGAAGGCCGGCAGTGGGACACCGTCCGGCACTACGGAAGCCCCGATGTCACGGTCTGGGATACTGCCGGTACGCCGGTACTGAACCGGCTTGTTACCCTTTTGGGTAATAATACGAATGCCTATGTCTCTTGCAATCCATGTCTTATGAATACGGGAATACTGAAGCAGACATGATGAAAATTCTACGAGGAGATTGCCAGCGGTCGCCCCACCTGAAGCGCACTTCCGCATCGTTAATTCCTCTTCTGCATCGCTGCCTGCTCACATGATGACAAGAGTCTCCGATCGACGCTGCACTCCAGCACAAATATGTCAGTAGATAGCGATTGTCCCCCTTCATCCTTGTTAGTGATAGGCATTCAACGGTGCGGCAAGTCACCGTTATGCAACACCGTTTCTGTCCCATCCACCGTCTTACTTTCAGCTGTGCTGATTTGCTGACCAGGATACTCCTCCATCTTGCGGTCCGCGGTGCTACTTGAAAGGCTTTCTCTAGAGTGCAATATTCGTGTCAGACAACCTGGGACCTTCGAGCCCTATGCCTCCTGGCACATACAGAGCCTGCCATCCATCGGCCACCACCACAAAATTTCCGCCTGCTAGAATTCTGGATTCTGGAGACTCGATGAATTGCGGAATCTGAGGATAATGTCCTCTACCCATCAATCATGACGTCGACTACAGCGTGTCGTCCCCCCTGCTAATGCCATGGTACTCTGACATACAGATCGCGACCCACCTTAGCCGACCCCTGGAGATTGGTAAGATGTACCGCAAGTTACCCCAAAGATAGATTCCACCGATCGACGGGAAATCGCCGTTGTGTACGATAAAGAGTGAGTACTAGGCTCATCTACAGTGGCATTTGATGTAAAGAGAAGAACTCCGATTTGAGAGTCACTGACCTTTCAAGGATTGAAAGCAGAAGAATCAACTCTTGTGTTCAACAGACGCGCTAGAACCTGTGTCTATGGATGCCGGGAACCGACAGAAAGTTTCACCATGAATTCGGAATCGACACTAGGAAGCAATGGTTTCTTCGCCTCGGTCAATTCCGATACCAGGGTGATGACAGCGGGAAGCTACTTTGAATGCTGCCAGACGCGATGATAGCCACAAGGTTTGCTGCAAGGTAACGCCACTAGAAAATGAAAACATTGCCCTCGGAAAAGCTCGATACAAGGGCTTGCGTTCAGCCGTCGAATCGGACGAACCATAGCCATTGGCAGTCAGCGGTATCACGCAGTGTCAGCCTCGCTACTCGCGAAACTCTCCGGTCGAGGATTCGATCACAGCATGGCTCCAATCGCGGTGGCGCGTACTTAGGGCGTCACTGGGCAAAACAGACGTGGCAGCTCTTATCTAGCAGGAAGTTTTGCCTCTGGAAGCAGGCCTCGGTGAACACCAAGACGTGGATGATCTTTTGGAGATTTCAGGCAGCCAGAACATGGCCTAGAGCTGGGCTGCTCCCTGCAAGCAAGCCACTGCTTCCAATATTGAATGCAGAGCCTCCTTTGGGATGGCAAGGCGAGTGGGTGTGATGCGGGGCAACATGGTTTGCTGTGAGTTGGTGGGGGTTGCTCGATGACCGATTTCACGTGGGAGACAGAGCGATACTTCTGTGTCGTGTACATCTTGCGGGCGACAAGCCGGGCGGCGAGAATAAGCTCGTTCCTGGGTCGGGCGAAAGAAGCCCTTGCGAAGGGCACAATAGCTACGAGAATTCGTGCATAATCAAGAGCCATGGCTTGAAAGACGTTGGTTAGCTTGCGGAGAACCTTGAAATGAATACGAAGCTGCGCAGAGTGAGACATGGTCTAGGAGGGAGAAGGGATTTGAGGTTACACAAACATCGTCCACGGGGCCAGTCTCCGCGAAACAACGTTGACAGAAGAAAGCGGATAAGCAAATCGATAAATCAGGCGGGCCTCGTATCCATAGAATCTATGACGATCGATCTGATAATGAGGAGAAACAGAGCTTACAACGATGATTCCAAAAGACAGTGTTCACTGGTAACGAAGGTGGTGAATGATCTACCGCTTGGAGCTGTTGTCGTTCAAAAGAGTTGCATGAGAATCCCATCAATGTATCGCAACTGACAGTCCAAGGTGGGATTGGAAAGTCTGACAACATCTCGCCCTGTCTTGTGGGCGGTTCATCTTTGTGCCGTTGCGGGGAGGATTGAGCTGGACTCGGGACCGACCGCACACCCACGCCGGAAAATTGGCTGCGATGCAGGCCACTTGGCACCGTTCATATTCCGAATTTGAGGCTAGATGTTGATCGCGGACATCGTATCCAGGGTCTAGCATGCCACGGAAGGTAATGAGCAGCGAATGCATGCCCAGAATTCGAAAGCTAAGCCCCACTGGCGTCCTCACAACACCGACTGGGGTGCTGATAGGTTGCCTTTCGAGATGTGCATCGCGGAGCATGGTAAGGCCGCGGCGACTGGCCTTTGAGATTTGTGCGACTGGCGGCTACCTTTGACTCTTTGCACGTCTGGTAAGGTCATCGTGATGTGCGGCCGCGGTTTCTCGGGCGCATCCCAATTTGTGAGAATCAGAGAAGAAGATGGTGTTGCAGAGAGAACCCAACAGGCTGTCTCACATCAGTAAGACGAACGGGTCGACTGAAGGGGCCAGCTGGGCCTATGGGGCCATGAGGGTACCTTCGAAGCCGTTACTGGAAGCTGATGACGATGATGAAGGGGTGGGACTGATTGTGGTGTGGGTGGTGCGGGAGAGGAAGAGCCAAGGGGTTCTTGCAGCAAGGTTGCACACCAATTCAACTCCATCACGAAGAAGTGACGACCCAATTGCTTGTCCTGCCACTCGAATGTTTAGGCAGAGGAGGAAAGAGGTGGGGGAAACACAGCAACAGTAACCTCCATTCCTCGCCCTTACCCAAGATCACCAGCTTCAACGCCGGAGATATTGATGTCTTCCACTTCGTAGGTACTCCCCAGGCACTTTACCTCTTTTGGCGAAAGATAAGGCAAGCAGGCATGACTAAGCCTTCCTCCTTGGCAAGGTCCCGGCCGTAGTCCACGACTCCACGTATCCTTAGGTTGGTCTGGACTGACGTCCGTTCTTCTTTTTCCGCATTTTGTGCCATTTCCATCCTCCAGTCTCTGCATTCCCAACGTCTTCTCGTTGCCTCTCGTCCAATCAATCTCGAACACTGTCAGCACAACTATGGCCTGATTTAATGAGAAGACTTTGCTGCAAACCTCCTCGTCCGACTCCAAGATTGGAGCCTGGCCAAACATCGCCCCCGTCCAGCAGTCATGGCATTCTGCACGCCGTTGTCCACTCTTGTAAGTACGCGTCATTACAACTACAGCCAAAGATTGATTCCCCTTTGCATAAGACGCCCATGCCTTGCTTCCCCGCTGCATGCAA